CAGCGCGGCCGCCGCGCTGGCGAGGCCGAGGCCGAGGCTCTGGCGCGCCCCGCTGAAGGTGCACTGGACCCTCTCGGCGATGATGGGGCTCGCCCGCGTGACCATGCTGTGGGCGGCCTCCTTCGGGGGCGCGCAAACATGGACTAGCGATCCATGGATTTGGCGCGCGGTCGCCAAATCCATGGATCGGGGGAGGTGCCCTCCTCAGAAAGCGGCCGGTGCCGCCTCGCTCGGCGGCGGGAATCCGCGATTTCCCATGGAAACCGGACCCGTCGCGAATCCACGCCCCCTTGATCCATGTTTGCGATCGCCTGACTCCTGCAGGCCGCCGACCTCGAGGCGGGCCATGTTCAGGAAGGAGCCGACGAAGGTGGTGATGTTCGGGGACACCTGGAGACAATTGCTTGGGATCCTGGCGGCACTCGCCAGGAGGTAATTATACGCGTTTTTCCATGAATTTGGCCTTTCGGGCCCTGGTCTGGAGTCTGGGCTTGCGCCTCCAGCTGGCGGCACTTCTTCCGCCGGCGTGTCTTGCGAACAGAAGCGTCGTTGAAGTTGATGGTGGTGATCACGGGCATGACCACCAGGGGTGGAGGGGGAGGTGGGGGGAGGGGGCCCGCCCCGTCGCGATTGGCGCCAGCGCCGTCCGGACATGCTTTGCATGGCCAGCTTCCACACGGCGCCAGCGCGGATCGTGACGTGACCAGGGGGGGCGGGGGCGGGGTGGGGGGCGGGGCCGGTCACGGGCGTTCTCGCGAATCATAAAAAAAACTGGCTCCTGCAGGGTGCGCTCCATGTTGGGCAGGACCCGGGTGGAGACGTTCTCGATGACCTTGCCGATGGTCTCGAGCTTGGCGTCCGCAGGCCCCCGCTTGCTGGGGCTGCAGAGGCGTGTGGGGCATTGGGCCGTCCCCCCTCCCCCTTCCTTCTCGCCGGGGCTCCACAACCGTGTTAGGAGGGGGGTGGGCCGGGGAGGGGGGAGACAAGCATCAACGGTTATTCCTCGGCGTGTGGGGCATTGGGCTGTCCCCCCTCCCCTTTCCATCTCCCCGGGGCTCCAAAACCGCGTTAGAGGGGGGTGGGCCGGGGAGGGGGGGAGACGAACATCAACGTTTTTGGTTTCTCGGAAGCCCTGGGAGCCTCCGGATCCACCCTCCGTGGCCTCCAGGATGCCAACTTCGCTGGGTCAAGACGGGCTCCCACGCAGCAGAGAGGCCTCAAGAACACTGAATAGGTTTCCACCAACAGCACTTCGACTGCCGACTCCCTGAGGCGAACCAAGCAAGCAGCACTGATACGCTACACAACGAGTCAACTAAACCAAGGTCCCGGCCGGATAAAACGTCACCCCAACACCCCAACCGTGTTTGTGCCAGCATCGGTGCGCCAAGTTTGCGGGAACTGCCAGCTAAGACACGCACGAGGAGGATGAAGAAGCAAGAAGAGAAGAGGAGACATCGAGGAGACATCAAGACGGCCTCAAGAACGCCCAAGATGGCCCCCAAACGGCCCAAAGAGCCCGCAGCACGGCCGAATAGGTCTTCAAGACGACCCCTGTCGCATGTCGGGCTCAGGACTAGGTGAACAACGAATGGTATAAACATAAAAACTCGGAGATCCGCGCGGATTTCTCGGGTCGGCGCTGGACCCCCGAAGCGCGCCAGGGTTGGCGCCAGAGGCGCCGCCAGAGGGGGTCCAGCGCGGATCCGAAAAATCCGCGCGGACCCCCGAGTTTTTGTGTTCATGTCTTTCTTCGTTCCATGAAGGACAGACCAGAAATGTTTGGCGGTGCGCACAAAGGGGGTGGAGGGAGGGGGGAGGGCTCCTCAAAAGGAGGCTGCTTCTTAGAAGGCGCCGCCCCTACATCTCTAGATGAGGCCCGCGCCTCCTTTCCAAGAAGCAGGGGTGTTTCTAAGAAGCCCCCCCCTCCCCCCCACACGCCTCTGCGCCTGGCTGACATCCCTCGTTCCCCGAGCACAGCCCAGGACGGTCCTCGGCTACACGCAACGAGTGACCCTGGGTAAGAGTGACCTTTGCTGCGCGGCTTCTTGGGGGGCCGCGGGGGGACCAGACCTGGGCGCGCAGGCCGCTGCTCCTGCTCCGTTTTCGGCCATCTGGGGGGCCATCTGTGCCCGCACCAAAGGTCACTCCGGCGAAAGGTCACTCGTACGTCTAGTCGACGATCCAAACGAAAGCATGTCTCGAGAGCGCATCTTTTACTTCCGCCAGCATTCACGGGCGGAAGCGGCCTGGATTTGCTCCCGCCGACTTCTGCCGGCCTCCCGCCGCCTTCCGCCCGGGAAGGGCTCCTTCGATCCTCGAAGGCGGGGCCTTCCTGGAACCCCTCGTATTTGAGTGACCCCAAAGGGGGTCCAGCTGAAAGGGGGTGGTGCAATAGATGTGGGGTAATTGTTTTGCAAATGTATTGCGCCCGAGAAATGTATTGCATTGTATTGCAGCGGATGCATTACACGCGAAACTCCAGCAATATATCTGCGTCCCGGAATGTATTGCACGCCACAAGTGTATTGCAACCCCACAACCCTAGTGCACCAAATCTATTGCACCACCCCCTTGTCGCTGGACACAGTTTTGGGTAAACCCGATCGTTGGCGCTCCCCGGGAACGTGGCGAGACAATGGCGCACGTCTGGCCGATGTCCGAGAGGCCTCGCAGCCTGGCACGCCAAGAGCCCCCCCCCCCCCCCCCCCACGAGAGGTCCCGCAGACACGGCCCCCCCATTTGGACGCCCGAAATGGGCACGGAAAGAATGGGTACAATGCCCAACAACATATGTTGCCCAAAACCAACAGCGGCCGCTGTTGGGCGGGCGGCCTTCTGTCTCGAATGGACACAGGCCGCGGCGGCGCGGACAGCGAGTCCCGTTCAAAATGAACAGGAACTGCTGTTGGGCATTGTACCCCTTCTTTCCGTACCCCCTTCGTTCGTGCCGAGTATCGTTGGCGCTCCCCGAGAGAGTGGCGAGAACTGGGGGGAGGGGAGGGGGAAGAGGAGGAGGAGGAGGAGGAGGAGGAGGAGGAGGAGGAGGAGGAGGAGAAGGAGAAGGAGAAGGAGGAGGAGGAGGAGGGAGGAAGAGAAGAGGAGAGGAGGAGGAGGAAAGGAGGGGGGAGGGGGAGGGGGAGGTGGCGCACGTCTAGTCGATGCCCGAGAGGCCTCGCAGCCGAGCGCGCCAAGGCCCCCCCCCCACGCGAGAGGTCCCGCAGCGACGGCCCCCCCCTTGGCTCCTCCTCCTCCTCCCTCCTCCTCCTCCTCCTCCTCCTCCTCCCTCCCTCTCTTCCTCCTCCTCCCTCCTCCCTCGCCTCCTCCCGCCTCCTCCCTCCTCCTCCCGCCTCCTCCCTCCTCCTCCCTCCTCCTCCCTCCTCCTCCAGGCGGCCAGCCCCAGGCCGCCCCGCACGCTGGCACCCCGGCAGGGGCCCAGCAGCGGGCCGCGCGAAGAGCTGCACGCCGCCCGGCAGGAGCAGGCCCAATTGAGTCGGGCCTGTCCCCCTACAGGGGGATTTTCGACGAAAAATAAGAAGTAGTCAAACAATGCCCCCAAATAATCGCAAAGCGCTAGAAAAAAAATGGTCCCCAGACTGATTGGGACCAGTTTTTTGAGATCTCCCCTGTAGAGGGGCAGGCCCGACCTAACGGTAAAAGCATGAAGCAGGAAGGCGGATTCAGCAGATTGGGTGCAGGCCCTCCCAGAGGAGAACAAGACGCATCGAAAGCAGATGGATCTTTGAAATGGGAGGGCGCTTGAAGCAGAATTGGGATCTGGGATATCCAGAGATACCTACCTTGAACGACCGGCGTGTACTCGAAGGAGACCCGGGAGCCCTCCTCGACAGGATGGCCCTCAGGATCTCGGGGCCGGCCAAGAGGGGGGCGTTCAAGAGGGAGAGGGCTCAAATCATTGCTGGCGGCACGTGCGCGGCCCAGGAGGGAGGCCAGGGACGCAACGAAATGAGAAGAGGCGCCAGGAGATCTGGGGAGACATCACGACCCCCGCCATGAGATCCACTGCCCCCTAGTCATCACCCCCCTCTTGGCCGCCCCAAGGGACCCCCAACGCGCCCCGAAGAGGCCCGGAAGAGCTCCAGGAAGCTCCCGAAATAAGAAGAGGGCGCCATGAAATCTGGGGAGATACCATGACCCCCGCCATGATCTCCAACCCCGCCCTGTGATCGCCCCCCTCCTGACGAACCAACAACACACACCCATACCCATAGGGGGGTCGGAGAGGGCTATGGGTGCGTGTTGTCGGATGGGGGTCCCCGCTCGAACGGGAGCGTTCCCCAGGGTCCGACAACCCGCACCCATACCCATAGCCAGTCCTCCTCTCAACGACCCCTCTATGGGTATGGGTGTGTGTTGCTCGTTCGTCACCTCCTGGCCGCCCTCGAGGACCCCCAGCGCGCCCCGAGGAGGCCGCCTTAGGGAAGCTCCAGGAAGCTCCCGGGATTGGGAGCCTTCGCCAGGGCTCCCGGGAGGCGGCCGCCGCCGAGGCCTCCGCGAGGTGCCCCCCCCCCCCCCCCCCCCTCCCAGAAGCGCCCCGCCACGGACTCCGAGTGGCCTTCCAAATGCCTTGTCGTCGTCCTCCTCCTCCTCCTCCTCCTCGCCCCTCCTCCTCCTCCTCCTCCTCCTCCTCCTCCTCCTCTTCCTCGACCCTCCTCCTCGCTCCTCGCTCCTCGCTCCTCGCTCCTCGCTCTTCCTCGCTCTTCCTCCTCCTCCTCCTCCTCCTCGCTCCTCGCTCTTCCTCTCCTCCTCCTCCTCCTCCTCCTCCTCCTCCTCCTCCTCCTCTGTGTCGTTGCCCTCCTCCTCCCATTCCTCCTCTGCTTCTCCTCCTCCTCCTCCTCCTCCTCCTCCTCCTCCTCCTCCTCCTCCTCTTTGTCGTTGTCCTCCTCGTCCTCCCATTCCTCCTCTAAGTGGGGTCGGGAGGAGCAGCGCAAGCCCCTTGAATCATAATCGCTGACGTTGGCCATGATCTGCGTGATCTGGTCGCACGCCTCCACACGCCGATTTGACTTGCGCAACGCTCCGCGACACGGCATGGCACAGCAGGGCCCACACCCACACAGCACAGCACACCGTGGCCCGACTCCACCAAACCACGCCTCGGCCCCAGCAGAGCCCCAGACTGCAACATACCGCACGGCACCGAACCGCACACGGCACAACACGCACCGCGACATGAAAGAGGGGAACACAACACACTGCACACGGCACAGCACGGCATCGCACCACCTGATCACGTTTCGGTCCCGACTGTACTACTCCACGCGGCACGGCGCAGCATCGCCAACCGCCAATGCCAATGCTTCGTATCATCCCCCCGGCGCGGCACCACGTCACGTGGGTGAGAGGAGGAGCAGCAGGGGGCGGGGCAGGAGGTGGATAACCACGAGATGACATGCGCAAGTATAGGCATTCGGAGGTTCTGGGCTGTCAAACCTCAAACTGGATTCGGGCCATACGATGGGTATAAATTAACGATTTCCACCATACATCGCGCAAGCCTGTCTACAAGGAGCGCATGCTGGCTCGCACTGCGAAGTCGGGGGTGCACTGACCCTGGTCAGTGCAAACCCGGGTCGTTCGGGGCTTGCAAGATCCTGCACGATCCTTCGCCCTAGCCTTGGTCAACGCAGCCCTGGCTTTGCAAGATCCTGCAAGGTCCAGCGCTATGGCTGACGCCAATCTGCATTGACCCCCGTCTCAAGGCTCCTGGCTTGGACGACCGAAATGGGTACGGAAGGAGCCGACAGCGGGTAATGTTCAAAATGGGCAAGAACTTGCGGGGACAGCAAGCGACTACAACCACATCGAGGACACGCCCTCGGGTATGTCTTGCGCATGCCAGCAGTCGTCAGCGCACTGAGACCAGCTTAGTACTGGTTGCGGTCGATGTGGGCGTTCAGGACGACCAAATCGACGACAACCACAACCAAAAAGCTCATGTCGAGGTCGGTACATCCTCCCCCGCCAGAAAGATGTAGTCACTTTGTGGTTCTATGATGTTCTATGCTGTGCCTGGAGAGCTGCTGCCGGTCTTCGTGCTCATGCTGTCTGTACCTTAGTGGGCCCTGGAAACGACAGGGCCGTTTTTTTACCGGTTCCGTTTTGCCTGTTTTTTGCCGGTTCCAACGCCGTTTTTGTTTACCGGTTCCGTCGCCGTTTTTTGACCAGTTCCGGCTCCGGTTCAAATCCTGGAGCCGTTTTTTTGCAACTTCCGGTCGCCGTTTTTTATGCCGTTTCCATTTTCAAGGGACATTTTTTGGGAAACGGTGACACAACGGCCCTGCCGTTTCCAGGGCCCACTAAGTGTCTGTACCCGTTGCGATCTCATGTCGGCACGGGGCCGGTGTCAGAGCTCTAGTAGTAGTAGTAGTAGTAGTAGTAGTAGTAGTAGTAGTAGTAGTAGTAGTAGTAGTAGTAGTAGTAGTAGTAGTAGAGTAGTAGTAGTAGTAGTAGTAGTAGTAGTAGTAGTAGTAGTAGTAGTAGTAGTAGTAGTAGTAGTAGTAGTAGTAGTAGTAGTAGTAGTAGTAGTAGTAGTAGTAGTAGTAGTAGTAGTAGTAGTAGTAGTAGTAGTAGTAGTAGTAGTAGTAGTAGTAGTAGTAGTAGTAGTAGTAGTAGTAGTAGTAGTAGTAGTAGTAGTAGTAGTAGTAGTAGTAGTAGTAGTAGTAGTAGTAGTAGTAGTAGTAGTAGTAGTAGTAGTAGTAGTAGTAGTAGTAGTAGTAGTAGTAGTAGTAGTAGTAGTAGTAGTAGTCAGTCGTAGTAGTCGTACAGTCGTAGTAGTAGTAGTAGTAGTAGTAGTAGTAGTAGTAGTAGTAGTAGTAGTAGTAGTAGTAGTCGTAGAGCGAGCACCCCGGATGTGCACGAGGGGGGCAGAAGGTCATTGGAACGATGCACGGGATGCCCCAGATTTTTCTCAGCTTCCCTGGCGTTCCCCACGGGCGGTGGGAACGAGGGCCGCTGGAGACCCTGGCCATCCTGGAGCGCATCCTGAGCCAAGTCCATCACGCCGTCGCAAGCGAACACCTCTGGCGTTGCCCAGCCCGGGATGGCCCAGATTTTCCTCAGCTTCCCTGGCGTTCCCCACGGGCGGTAGAAACGAGGGCCGCTGGAGACCCTGGCCATCCTGGAGCGCATCCTGAGCCCAGTCCATCACGCCGTCGCAAGCGAACACCTCTGGCGTTGCCCAGCCCGGGATGGCCCAGATTTTCCTCAGCTTCCCTGGCGTTCCCCACGGGCGGTAGAAACGAGGGCCGCTGGAGACCCTGGCCATCCTGGAGCGCATCCTGAGCCCAGTCCATCACGCCGTCGCAAGCGAACACCTCTGGCGTTGCCCAGCCCGGGATGGCCCAGATTTTCCTCAGCTTCCCTGGCGTTCCCCACGGGCGGTAGAAACGAGGGCCGCTGGAGACCCTGGCCATCCTGGAGCGCATCCTGAGCCCAGTCCATCACGCCGTCGCAAGCGAACACCTCTGGCGTTGCCCAGCCAGGGGGAGCTGCCAGGCGGCGAGCGACCCAGGGCGCGCCGTCTGCTGGGCGTGGCACGGAGAGAAGGCACTCGCCATCGCTCGGACGTCCATGTTTTGTGTTTTTTTCGGTTTCGTGCGTGGCTTTTCCGCCAAATGCTCAAGGATGCTCCTTGATGGTCCTCGCCGAGGAAAAAACGCACACGTCCGAGCGATGCCAAGGGCAGTGAGGGGAACGGGAGGAGGGCAAGCTCGGGAGCGGCAAAGAGGGGGGTGTCCAAGAGGGGGGGTGCAAATCATGACCAGCGGCATGTGCGCGGCCCAGCGGGGGGGGCCCAGGGACGTAATGAAATAAGAAGAGGCGCCATGAAATCTGGGGAAATGTCATGGCCCCCGCCATGATATCCACCCCCCCTAATTATCACCCCCCTCTTTTCCGCCCCCGATAAACGCGGAACAGCAGCCGCAGCCGGGCGAGGAGAGGAGCTGGGGCCGCGGACGGGCTGGAACCCCTGGGGGCGACGCCCATCGTTCGGTGGCAGCTCGCAGGAGCCTCCCAATGCCATCTTGTCGGCTCTTTCGACGCTACATCGGGGCGAATCGAGGCTGCTCGACGCTAACTCGACGCTAACCGACGCTAAATCAACGCGGATCGAGGCTGCTCGACGCGAAGTCGACGCTAAGTCGACGCTGAATCGACGCGAATCGAGGCTGCTCGACGCTAAGTCGACGCTAACCGACGCTAAATCGACGCGAATCGAGGCTGCTCGACGCTAAGTCGACGCTAAGTCGACGCTGAATCGACGCGAGTCGAGGCTGCTCGACGCTAACTCGACGCTAACCGACGCTATATCGGCGCTATCTCATCGACTCCTGGACGCTAATCGACGCTAGTCGACGCCAGAGGCAGAATTGCGAGGGTACAAAAGGCTCCCAGGAACTGCTACCAACCATTTGAATCTTCGGTGATCAACCTCTCACTGGGCGACGACGCGTGAAATCAATGGGCATCAACCTCGGGGGCGGGCACCGACTGATGCAGGGACGCAGCGCAACTCTTGCACACTTCTGGTGGCAGTTGGCTGCCTATCTGCCGCATGTTGTCGAACGACGTCGATTTCCACCCAACATCAAAACGCTATGACTCCAGCTCGTTCCTGGCAGTCCAAATCCATTTTCAATCCGGTGCCTGATGCTCTCTACCAATGACCCTACCTTCAGACATTTAGCACCTTTTTGCGACAGAGATAACTGGGCTGTTCTGCGCTGCTGTTGTTCCGATCGCCGATTGTTGCTGCGTGTGCCGTCTCAAGCGTTTCTTCGCAAAGCTCGAGAAAAATGCGTTCGCGTGCTTCGCTTGATAGCAGGACTGCCCGCAACAAGTGGCTAACTATCAATGGGCATGGTAGCTTGCGCCCCCCGTGTCTTGCAATAAGGTCGGAATGCTCCTGCTTTCAACAGTCAGACAACGCCTACTGCTCCTGCTTCTTCAAGTAAAATGTGGTCCCGCTTCGCCACGAATCGGTTCTTTAAGGATTACCCATCCGCGTTCATTGTTGTTTGGCCTGTATCCAATGGCTTGCATGTGGAAGGTTTTTCGGGCTAGTAGCGCGTTCAACATTTCTTTGCTTCTGCTGATCACAATTCGTTGCAGATTAAGGTGGGTGTGAACCCTCATTCACGTCATCGTTGCATGTCGGTCGACAAACATCTTATGGCATTGGGTGTATGTCCATATCCTGACTCTGGTTCGATGGCCCCGTGGGTCTCAAACATTTAGAACCATTCAGAGCAGGCCAACCAGATCTCCATGAGAACGATGGCTGCTAAGACACAGGGCGACCGAATGCGACCAGGAGGAGAGGGTGGACGAGGAGGAGGACGAGGAGGGCGAGGAGGAGAAGGAAGAGGAGGCGGATGGGCTGGAGAAGCAGCACCTTCACTGCGACAGCAATGCGGAGGCAGAGGAGGTGGCGGAGCTCCTCATCCTCCTGCTCTTCCTTCTGATCCTCCTTCTCATCCTCCTCCTCCTCCTTGTCCTTCAGCTCCTCCTCCTCCTCCTCCTCCTCCTCCTCCTCCCTCCTCCTCCTCCTCCTCCTCCTCCTCCTCCTCCTCCTCCTCCTCCTCCTCCTCCTCCTCCTCCCTCTCTCTTTTCAACACCTCTACAGTTGCACACTATGAGAACTACTCTCCTCTCGCACCTGATATCGTCCGGGGAGTATTGCCGGCCCCCCTCCGCGTATTGGTTTTCTGCACACAGGATTCCCAATAATTGGGTTTTCGCTTGTTTTTGTCAAAATGCTGCGCTCGCTGCCACGCTGGCCTCACTTCCGCGCTTCCGCTCGTTCCGAATCGTGCTCCCGCTGCAGCGCTGGCGTCATTATTTCCAGCGCCATGCCACGGTATGGTTTTCAGTCCTTCCAAATCGGCCCCAAAATCAAAAAAATGCCGACCCGTAAAAAACAATCGGAAGTGATTACGCATGTCGATTCGTTGATTTTGTGGGCCGCGGAAGCCCCCTTCCACTTTGGGGCGTCGCCACGCCATGCGGTGTCAGGCTACGCGTCCCCATTTCCGCGCTTCCGCGTAGAGTTTGTTCTTCAACATGCTGCTCTCGATGAAGCGCTGGCCTCATTTTCGGGCAACCGCTCAATCCGAATCGTGCTCCCGCTGCAGCGCTGGCGTCATTATTTCCAGCGCCATGCCACGGTATGGTTTTCAGTCCTTCCAAATCGGCCCCAAAATCAAAAAAATGCCGACCCGTAAAAAACAATCGGAAGTGATTACGCAGGTCGATTCGTTGATTTTGTGGGCCGCGGAAGCCCCCTTCCACTTTGGGGCGTCGCCACGCAATGCGGTGTCAGGCTACGCGTCCCCATTTCCGCGCTTCCGCGTAGAGTTTGTTCTTCAACATGCTGCTCTCGATGAAGCGCTGGCCTCATTTTCGGGCTACCGCTCAATCCGAATCGTGCTCCCGCTGCAGCGCTGGCCTCACTTCCGCGCTTCCGCTCGTTCAGACTCGCGCTCTCGCTGCAGCGCTGGCGTCATTATTTCCAGTGCCATGCCACGGCATGGTTTTCAGTCCTTCCAAATCGGCCCCAAAATCAAAAAAATTGACCCCCGACTAAACCATCGGATAGATCACACATTCGGTGTCAAATCCTTTTTTTTTGGACCGCAGAAGTCCCCCAACTTTGGGGCGTCGCCACGTCATGCTATGTCAAGCTACGCGTGCGTCCCCATTTCCGCGCTTCAGCGTAGAGTTTGTTCTTCAAAATGCTGCTCTCGCTGAAGCGCTGGCTTCATTTTCGGGCTACAGCTCAATCCGCTCCCGCTGGAGCGCTGGCCCCAATTCCGCCATTCCGCTCGTTCCAAATCGTGCTCCCGCTGCAACGTTGGCGTCATTATTTCCAGCGCCATGCCACGGCATGGTTTTCGGTCCTTCCAAATCGGCCCCGAAATCTAAAACATTAACCCCCGAATGAGCCATCGGACGTGATCACACATTCGGTGTCAAATCCTTGTTTGTTTGGACCGCAATTGCCTCCCCCCCTCACTTTTCGGCGTCGCCACACCATGCTATGTCAGGCTACGCGTCCCCATTTCCGCTCTTCCGCGTAGAGTTTGTTCTTCAAAATGCTGCTCTCGCTGAAGCGCTGGCTTCATTTTCGGGCTACACCTCGTTCAGAATCGTGCTCCCGCTGCAGCGCTGGCCTCGTTTCCGCCCTTCCGTTCGTTCCGAATCGTGCTCCCGCTGCAGCGCTGGCGTCATGATTTCCAGTGCCATGCCACGGCATGGTGTTCGGTCCTTCCAAATCGGCCCCCAAATCAAAAAAAATGACCCCCGACTAAACCAGCGGAAAATATCACACATTCGGTGCCAAGTTCTTGATTTCTTGGACCGCGGAAGTCCTTCCACTTTGGGGCGTCGCCACGCCATGCTATGTCAGGCTACGCGTCCCCATTTCCGCTTTTCCGCGTAGAGTTTGCTTTTCAAAATGCTGCTCATGCTGAGGCGCTGGCCTCATTTTCGGGCTACCGCTCGTTCCGAATCGTGCTCCCGCTGCAATGCTGGCTCATTTTTGCGCTTCCGCTCGTTCCGAATCGTGCTCCCGCTGCAGCGCTGGCGTCATTATTTCTAGTGCCATGCCCCATCATGGTTTTCGGTCCTTCCAAATAGGCCCCAAAATCTAGAAAATGGACTCCCGAAGAAACCATCAGAAGTGATTACACATTCGGTGTCCCCCCCACCTTGGGGCGTCGCCACACCATGCTATGTCATACTACGCAATGATCTTCGACACCATGCTATGCCATGTAATGTTGTGTCATGCTACGACATCCGATTGTGCGAATGGAGAGGAGATCAACGCCATGGTAAGGGATGGGAGGGAGGTGTAGGACGCCAGATATGACGCGAGCGCACCTAGCTTGTCTCCTCCCCCTCCTCCTCCTCCTCCTCACCCTTCTCTCATCCACCTTCCCGCCTCCTTCGGGGTGGCGGTGGCCAGGCTGGTGGCGTTGATCCTGAGGCGGACAGTGTTCGCGTTCAGCTGCCCGAGGAACGGGAAGAGCGCCCTCTCGAGGTCCTCCGGGACCGTGCGCCTGAGCATCTGGATGGCCTTCAGGCTGTCCTGGTGCAGCCCGCGGAGGCGGAAGCCGGACTCGTGGAAGAACTTCGCCATGATGAAGCGCAGCTCAACGTCGGAGGCGGAAGTGCTGTCTTTGACGAACTGGGTGGTCTTCTGCTGGGTCTGGTCCAAGAACTTCCTGACGTTCACATCCACCCTCTTCGTGACGTTGCGGAAATCCTCCACGAACTCCTCGTCCTGCAGCGCCTCCGGCAAGGCCAGGACGACGTCGACCATGTAGCTCATGTTCACGCCCGCAAGGCCGCCAAGAGAGTCCTCCAGCAACTGCTCGGCGCGCGCCGTCATGTCCGTCTTGGCCTGACGGCGGTTCTCCTTGATAGCGCGGCGCTCCTCGGCCTCCGCCATGCGCTCGCCCATCAAAATCTTACGACGCTTCTCGGTCGCCAGCCTGAGCTTCTTCATTGCCAAGTTGGCGGCAAGCTTTGCCACGTCCAGCTCCTTCTTGGACACCATGAAATCCGCCAGCCCCCTTGGAGGCGAAAGGCTGTGAAACGTTCGGCTGTGCTGTCTTGCTGTGTTTTTTGTCGTTCATGTCTTGTCTCTTGTCTCTCCAATCCTGTCTCTGATGGGTCCAAGAGGCCTGTAGGGACACCGCTATACAGCCAAGATGGCCCGAGAGGCCTGCAAGACGGCCCCGAGAAGTTCCGACAAAAAGCGCATCGAGAGCCCCAGACGGCCAAAGATGGCCCCAAGACGTCTCTGTGGTCCAGGAGAGGCCCCACACGCAAACGGTCGCGTGTGTTCCACGATTGCATGTCCTGCCCCCCGTAGCGCATCCATGCACGCAGACGCGATGCCAAGTTTTCGAATCCCACGCCATGGATCTCAGTCGCACAGGAGTTGGCAAGACTGGCAACACCTGGACGAATGGTTCATGATGGCCTGTTTCACTGGGCTATTTCTTGCACGTCCCACGTGCTTCCCCCCGCATGCCTCGGGAGCGGCCAAGAGGGGGGTGTCCAAGAGGGGGGGTGGAAATCATGACCGGCGGCATGTGCTCGGCCCAGCGGGGGGGCCAGGGACGTAATGAAACAAGAAGGGGCGCCATGAAATCTGCGGAAATATCGTGGCCCCCGCCATGATATCCACCCCCCCCTAGTCATCACCCCCCTCTTTTCCGCCCCCGAGCTTCCCCCCGCATGCCCGAAAAATCGCTCCACGCCGGGCCCCCAGGGGCCCGCGCGGCGGCCCCTCAGGAGCCCCCCCCCCGACCGGGGGACGCCGCCCCGCGCCGCGCGCCGAGGAGATGGCCCGAGAGGAGGCCTCCACGACGGTCCCCAGGAGGCCAAGACGGCCCCAGCGCTCCCCAGGAGATGGCGCGGAGGCTCGACTGGGGGATCGCCCACAGAATTGAGTCGGGCATGGACAGGCCTCCCTTTAGTAAAACGTTGTCTAGTGAAATCGGCCTCGGGCCTAAACCTGTCGGGCGCAAGCCTGGCAAATGACGGCCGCGGCGCCCTCTCGAGAACCGAAAACGGACAATTCACTAATCGACGTGTCAGGGTAGGAGGTCTGTCCACCCCTGATTGAGTTCTCCCAGCATGGGTGCTCCCACCGAAGCCACGGAGCAAGTGCGCATACCGTCCGGCGGAGCCACGAGTATTCCACGCGTTCCGTGTGTACTCGGCGGGGGATCCAGTTTGGAGTCAAATCAATTCTGTAGAATGTCCCCTTCTTCGAGAGGTGCCCCTCCCAGAATCCGTTCAAAATCACTCCCTGGACCCCTCCGGGGGCCCATCTTGTGAAGTGGTTTCGCCCCCCGGGATCCGAAAAAGGCAGACAACCTTCTCGAACCCAAATCCTCGAACCTCCCCCCCCTCCAGCTGGCCGGACACATCGCTGGGCCACCTCAGAGCCCCCGGCGGGCTCCAACCACCAGAGGACACAAGATGCCCCCGAGGGTCCCAAGATTAGGGAACCCACAACGGACGTACGCGCCCAGCTATGTACATGAACACGGCCCCTCCATCCGCGAGACCAGCCGCGTTATACGAACACTTGCGCAATGCGTACTCTCGAAACCAGCGTGGATTCATGTACGTGCACGTCCTTCTGTCGCTCCTGAAAGATGGCCCCAAGACGCTGCTCCAGGCGAGAGACGGAAAGGTGGGGTAGGGCAGAGGCTGGGTCAGAGCAACATCTGTCACAACGGCTCGTGGAAGAAGGACATGTGCGCATCCTGGTGGGTTCGTTCCCTAGCCCCGGGATGCCCCCCCTCTACGAACCCCCGATCCACCAGAGCCGCCAGGTGGCCTGTAACTCGGCGGGGTCCGGCGGCATTGGGCGCACCGACCGTCCAAATCTTTCATCGTCTCCTTCAGGTGCGCCTGCTTCTCCCGGAACACGGCCATCAGTTTGGGGTCGAAGTACGTCGAGAGGTTGGCCCTGCTGGCGTTGCTGTCCTGGACACATTCGACGATCTGACGTTTTTCAAGGCGCGGCCGGGGAATTTCTCAACCCGGCTCCGTTTTTCCAACCATCCTGTGGTGCTGGTCATCGTTTTGAAAGACAATGCCCCGCGTCTCCTCTCCTTCCCCCCCCCCCCCGCTCCTCCCATCCCTGCCTCTGCCCTCCGCATGTTTGTATTCCGGAACACCCAGTGCAAAGGTCCGTCGCCCCGTAGGGAGATCAGGCGAAGGCCCACATGGCAGGGTCCACATGTCTGCGCCGCCCCACTTTGGCACACCCCTCGCACGGTTCGCGGCAGGGTTCGTATGGCGGCGCCGCCCCCTTCTGGCGAATCCTTTAAACGGTTCGTGGCCCCAGAAGGATCTCGGCCGAAGGTCCCAGTGGCAGGGTTCATTTGGCGGCGCGGCCTCATTTCGGCGCACCCCTCACAAGGTTCACGGCCCCATAATAATATTAGGTGTGCAAAGTCAGAGCCATCATTTCATCAGTTTTGTGTGCGCGCGTGTGGTTGTTGTGTTCGTACTATGTTTTTAATGTTCCGTCCAAGGTTGTTTTGTGTTGTTTGTGTGCTTTGTTGTCTTCTGTGTTGCGTTGTTTTGTACTTGTTTTTTGTTTGGGAGGGATCTGCCGCGGTCGATCGCCAGGGGGGGTTCGACTGCCGCCCTGGCGCGGATCGCCCCCGCCAAAATCCCCTCAAAAGGAGGAGCTTCGGCTGGGGCTTTTCCCGTAGGCGCCCCCGCTCGCCTGGGAGGGTGCGGGGGATCCTGGATCGCCCAGGGGGGTCCAGGACGGGCCGACTCGCCCAGGGGGGGTGCCGGTCCGAGCGGTGGAATTGCCCGGGGGGGTCCAGTTCCTGCACGAGTCGCCCGGGGTGGTCTCGCGCGGGAACAGCCCTCGCGAATCGCCCAGGGGGGTTCCACGGGGGCGAGGTAGCCCGGGGGGCGCCTCAGAGGACAGTACACGGTGCGAAGGATTCACGCGAATCTTTCGCGGGACTCTCGCGAATTTTTCGCGGGTGGCCCGGACTCTCGCGAATTGTTCGCGGGAGGCGCAACGGTCTGGACGGTCGCGCAGGGGGGGGCGAAGAGGAGAGGAGGGGAGGTCCGATGCCAAAGCCTCGAGGGCCACCTCCGGGGCCAAGCGGAGGACGGACCATTGGAGCAGGGAGCGGCCAAAGATGGAGAGGGTGGGCGAAGGACGAGAGCCGGAGGGGAGCGCGAGCGGAGCCACCGAGGAGCAGAAGCGGAGAGAAAGGGAGTTCTCCGTTTGATCACGCCAAGAAAAGGGCGAGGCTGATGACTAAATGAAGGCTCTGACTTTGCACGCGCAACCCATATAGAGCGCCACCGAAGGCGCGCCAGTGGCGGGGTTCGCGTGGCGTGCCGCCCCGTTTCTGCGCACTCCTCACGCGGCCCGTGGCCCCACAGGGAGCCCCACCGAGAGCGGTGCCACAACACCGTGCTCACCACTGCGTGCGGCTGGGCCCCTCGCCAGGATAATTTGTTATGCTCCGTGGGGCCGGGTACCTGCCCCTGGAAGGCCGAGTGTTTTAAAGCAAAAGCCAAAAAACTGAATAAACCAAACTTCTGGGAAGTCCGCGCAGATCTCTTGGATCGGCGCTGGACCCCCCTGATTGGCGCGCGGAACGCGCCAAGGGCGGCACCGGAAGCGCCGCCAGGGGGGCCCAAACGCCGATCCAAGACATCCGCGCGGACCTCCAAGAAAAGATCTTAGCGGTTGTTCGCTTCTCCGAAGAATCGAAGAGCAACATCCAAATTGATAAACATATCGTCGGAGACGTGGGGTTTAGTTGTTGTGAAAAACGCTAAGGGCATTTTGATTCAACCGTTCGCAACTTTGCGGTTGTCGGCAAAGCTAAGCAACCAAAACTAGAACAATCACTGCAAAACGCGCAGACACAACATGAGCAGGACAAGACCGATCCGCGAAGGGGGCGAACAAGACCCCCCACACTGAACCAAAACAACTCACCCCCACAACGGAAGCACAACATCGATCCTTACAGCGAGACCGAATCCCCCACCGTTTCAACATCATCCATGACTACCTACCAGACCACCCCAACCCAACCCGAAGACCCGAAGTCGACCCGAAGTTCGGATTGGGGCGGGGTACGGGTTCCATGCGTTTTTTCAGTGTTCCCCGACCCCCCCGCCACTGGAAATCGAGGATAAATTTGGGCCGTCGGGTTGGGTTGGGGTGGTCTGGTGGGTGGTGAATCCAAGATCTGGGGTCCTCGGTCGCATTCTCGGCGGCGGCCTCGGAGGCGTTGGCGGACGCCTCGGCGCGCTCGGCAGCACCGGGGGCGGTGGCCGCCTCGGGGGCCGCCTCGGGGGCCGCCTCCGGTGCGGCCTCGGTCGCGTTGGCGGACGGCTCGTCCGGCAGCGGGACCTCGATGCCGGCGCTGGCGATGAGCTCGGCCTGCCGAGGAGTCCACCAAACCTCTACCGTCGGGGCGTTGACCTAAGGAACCCCAAATCAGGAACGAGGCCCCTGTCTCACATAAGTTAAACTTCGATCTCCCACCGGAAACATAAGGAAAGCCCGCGAGGCAAGCTGTGAAACATTCAAGGGACACCGAGCCCCTCCCCAACGAAAAAGGTTCCTTCTTCAGCGCCCCGACTGTACCTCGCTCTGGGCCGCCCCAGCTCCCCAACGGGAGCCGAATGGGGTGCCAGGCTGCCCGTGGCCCGCGGGAGGGCACGCCACGGCCAGGCTCCGTGGCGAGAGAGCGCGTGGAGGGACCTGCTGCTTCTGCCCGGAAGCGACGGCGGGGCACGGTCAACCCGTATAGTGAGGATGCGCGGTAAGGATGCAAGGGCCTAGGACTTAACGGGCAAAGAACGGTAAGAATGGTTATACCCCTACGGTGGCACCGTAGGGGTATAAACTTCCCAGCCGCCCAGGGACAGGCACCCCCGACAGCGAACAAGTTTATTCCCCACATGCTTCGTGGGGTTCTGGTTTTCTTCCCTGCCGCGCCGCACCCGCGTCTCCTGACACCTCCCCTCCTCTCTCTTTCTTCCTCCCCTCACTCACGCACACACACACACACTTCACTCTTCCCCCCCTCGTCACAGCACTGCTCAGCTCAGCTCAACTCACCTCAGCACAGCACAGCACAGCTCAGCTCAGCTCAGCACAGCACAGCTCGGCTCAGCTCAGCACAGCTCAGCACAGCCCAGCACGGCTCAGCTCAGCACAGCACAGCACAGCTCGTGGCACTTTCTCGACACCACAGGGGGTGCGCAGGGGTTGGTCTCTCAGCTCGGCCGCTATCCACGACACTGGCGCAAAGGCTAGCAGGCGTGGCACTCTCTCGACACCAAAAGGGGTGGGCAGGGGGTGGTCTCTCAGCTCGGCCGCTATCCACGACACTGGCGCAAAGCCTAGCAGGCGTGGCACTTTCTCGACACCACAGGGGGTGCGCAGGGGGTGGTCTCTCAGCTCGGCCCTATCCACGACACTGGCGCAAAGCCTAGCAGGCGTGGCACTCTCTCGACACCACAGGGGGTGGGCAGGGGGTGGTCTCTCAGCTCGGCCGCTATCCACGACACTGGCGCAAAGCCTAGCAGGCGTGGCACTTTCTCGACACCACAGGGGGTGCGCAGGGGGTGGTCTCTCACCGCGGTCCTATCCACGACACTGGCGCAAAGGCTAGCAGGCGTGGCACTTTCTCGACACCACAGGGGGTGCGCAGGGGGTGGTCTCTCAGCTCGGCCGCTATCCACGACACTGGCGCAAAGCCTAGCAGGCGTGGCACTTTCTCGACACCACAGGGGGTGCGCAGGGGGTGGTCTCTCAGCTCGGCCGCTATCCACGACACTGGCGCAAAGCCTAGCAGGCGTGGCACTTTCTCGACACCAAAGGGGGTGGGCAGGGGGTGGTCTCTCAGCTCGGCCGCTATCCACGACACTGGCGCAAAGCTAGCAGGCGTGGCACTTTCTCGACACCACAGGGGGTGCGCAGGGGGTGGTCTCTCAGCTCGGCCGCTATCCACGACACTGGCGCAAAGCCTAGCAGGCGTGGCACTTTCTCGACACCACAGGGGGTGCGCAGGGGGTGGTCTCTCAGCTCGGCCGCTATCCACGACACTGGCGCAAAGCCTAGCAGGCGTGGCACTTTCTCGACACCACAGGGGGTGCGCAGGGGGTGGTCTCTCAGCTCGGCCGCTATCCACGACACTGGCGCAAAGCCTAGCAGGCGTGGCACTTTCTCGACACCACAGGGGGTGCGCAGGGGGTGGTCTCTCAGCTCGGCCGCTATCCACGACACTGGCGCAAAGCCTAGCAGGCGTGGCACTTTCTCGACACCACACGGGGTGCGCAGGGGGTGGTCTCTCAGCTCGGCCGCTATCCACGACACTGGCGCAAAGCCTAGCAGGCGTGGCACTTTCTCGACACCACAGGGGTGCGCAGGGGGTGGTCTCTCAGCTCGGCCGCTATCCACGACACTGGCGCAAAGCTGGCAGGCGTGGCACTTTCTCGACACCACACGGGGTGCGCAGGGGGTGGTCTCTCAGCTCGGCCGCTATCCACGACACTGGCGCAAACCTAGCAAGCGTTGTATTTCTCGACACCACAGGGGGTGCGCAGGGGGTGGTCTCTCAGCTCGGTCGCTATCCACGACACTGCGTGCCAGGGTCGGAGAGCGTGGCAGGCGTGGCACTTTCTCGACACCAGAGAGGGTGCGCAGGGGGTGGTCTCTCACCGCGGCGCCTATGCGTGCCAGGGTCGGAGAGCGGCGTGGCAGGCGTGGCATCTTCTCGACACCAGGGGGGGTGCGCAGGGGGTGGTCTCCCACCGCGGCGTCTATGCGTGCCAGGGTCGGAGAGCGTGGCAGGCGTGGCATTTTCTCGACACCAGAGACGGTGCGCAGGGGGTGGTCCCCCACCGCGGCGTCTATGCGTGCCAGGGTCGGAGGGCGTCGGCGTGGCAGGCGTGGCACTTTCTCGACAGCAAGGGGGTGCGCAGGGGGTGGTCTCTCACCGCGGCGTCTATGCGTGCCAGGGTCGGAGAGCGTGGCAGGCGTGGCACTTTCTCGACACCAGGGGGGGTGCGCAGGGGGTGGTCTCTCACCGCGGCGCCTATGCGTGTCAGGGTCGGAGCGCGTGGCAGGCGTGGCATTTTCTCGACACCAGGGGGGGATGCAAGGGTCGGAGCGCGTGGCAGGCGTGGCACTTTCTCGACACCAGGGGGGGATGCGCAGGGGGTGGTCTCTCACCGCGGCGTCTATGCGTGCCAGGGTCGGAGAGCGTGGCAGGCGTGGCACTTTCTCGACACCAAGGGGGGTGCGCAGGGGGTGGTCTCTCACCGCGGCGTCTATGCGTGCCAGGGTCGGAGAGCGTGGCAGGCGTGGCATTTTCTCGACACCCGAGGGGGTGCGCAGGGGGTGGTCTCTCTATGCGTGCCAGGGTCGTCCAGGCATTGCAGGCTTGGCATGTTCTCAACACCAGAGGGGGTGCGCAGGGGGTGGTTTCCCTATGCGTGCCAGGGTCGTCCAGGCATAGACTCTAGTGCGGGATTGCGTATTACCTTTCGTATCCAAGTGCCAGGCGACGCCGGATATGACCGTCACAGATGATTCCTCAACCCCTCATCTCCCCCCACACGTCCTCCCCCTCCTTTCAACGACCACAGGGGGCACTTGAGAGCATGACGGCGGTGGTAGTGGTAGCGCGGTTCACACAAGACATATAATCAGTATGTGGGGTTCCTCGGTAGCGTAATTTTTCACCGTTCTTCGCTCGCTGAAGGACGCCCATTTCGAAGCCTTTCGAGAGGGCCGCGGCCAACGAAAGCGGCAAGGGATGGGCCGAGAAGGCAGGGATGCAAGGGTACCCTTGGGAAGGTTGCCCACCCTTACTATGCGGGTTGCCTGTCGGCGAGCGACCCTCGGCCCACAGCACGCGGCGTGCACCGTGATTTCTGAGGACCGCGTGGGTTTTTCTTGGACAAGGCGGGCCGGCTCCCCGCCCCTGGAGCGCGGAGAGCGCGCCAAGGGCAGCGCCGCGGGCGCCGCAGGGGGAACCCTCGCTGTGATGTGCACGCAGGTTTGGGCCCTTCGGGCCTCCTCGTCCGCCTCCTCCGCCGCCAAGGTGACCTCCTCGGGCGCAACCACACTCGAGCCCCACCCCTGCAGCTCCTCCTTCCGACGAAAAAAGCGGCGGCCGCGGGCTTCAGAGTGCGAGGGACCCTTCTGCAGCCGGGCGAGCCCCAGCGGGGGTGCCCGATCTCTGCCCCAGCATCAGGTGGAGCCACAGGGATATGCTTAGGTCGGGCCTGCCCCCCTACAGGGGGATTGGGACGAACAATTCAAAGTACCCCCCAATACCCAACAATGATTGAAAACAAAAATGACAGAAACATCGTGCCCCGAGTATTTTTGACAATTTTTGAATATTCCTCCTATAGAGGAACAGGCCCGACTTAAGGGTATGGTTCGCAATTGGTCGCAGACTCCTGCAGCAGCGCCTCTGCGTTGAGCATCTCGGCCTCCATCAAAATAAAAATACACCCAAAATACCTCACAATGATTTTAAACAGAAGTAACAGAAAAATCGTCCCCATAGTATTTTGTCAATGTCTGAATGTTCCTCTTATAGAGGAACAGGCCCGACTTAAGGGTCTGGTTCGCAATTGGCCGCAGACTCCTGCAGCAACGCCTCTGCGTTGAGCATCTCGGCCTCCATCAAAGATGGGCTCAGCTGCAGGCGGGCGTCCGTGTCGTCGGCGTCCATCGACATCTTGAGGCCAGAGCCCGTCGAGAGGAGCGCGGAGCACGCGAAGAGAGCTTTCACGGCCATGGCTCGTAAGAAGGTCTCAGCGACAGTAAAGTGACAAAGTTTACGTGGAGATGAAGCCTGAGTTGCACTGCCATTGAGCCACGATCGGTTTTCGCAAACTTCATCTCCAAGAAGTCGCCGAGCAATTGCCAATTTAGCCAGTAAGGCTGACGCGTGCCACGTCTGCGCTCCAGGCGCGTCGCAAGCTCGAATGCCCGAGTCCTGCGGCGGCCCTGTTAGAAGGCCGAAGTCCGCCGACCCCTTGGGGTCATTGGCGTGTGGAATTAGGACCCAGAACAAAAACGCGCAAAGGAATTTCACACAAAGGGTTTTGGCACCACCAACGGTGCAACGCATGTGCACCCATGCCACTGGATCCCCGGCGATCTGAACCAGGGCTGATGCACGGCCGTGCTCTAAGATGCAGTTGAAAAGTATGGTGTGGCAGCGCTCTCCCCCCAGGGCCCGGTCCGGTCGGTTTGGAAGGGGGGGGGGTCTGGCTGGCCCCGGCTGAACGCGCCACGGGCCTCACGACGGGCCATGAGGGCCCCAAGAGGCCCACAAGATGGTCCAAGAGGGCCCCGAGTCGCCGATGGATCGTTCCAAGACGCCCAAGATGGCCCCCAGACGGCCCAAGAGGCCTCCGAGACGCCCCAAAAGGCCCCCAAGAGGCGTCCCAAGAGGGCCCCCAGAAGAACAAATCGTCCCAGCCCCTTAGGGAAACGTATGACTTTAGAACATTCGCCTCTTGGCCTTTCGCAACGTCCAAAACGGCCCAACAGGCCTCCAAGATCGCCCCACGACTGCCCAGGAAGCCCCCAAGAAGGCTCCAAGACGGCCCAAAAGGGCCCCAAGACGGTCCTAGAGGCCCCCAAGACAGCTCCAGGAAGGGGCCCAGGCGGGGGACCCGAACGGAAATTTCGAGCCCTCGGCTCCAAGAAGCCTCCAGGAGGCCCCAAGAGGCCCCCAAGAGGCCCCCAAGAAGCCCCCAAGAGGCTCCAAGGCCCACCAGAGGCCCAACAGAGACCCCAAGAGCCCCCAGAACGGCCCCCCAGAGGCTTCAAAAGTGCTGCCAGGAGGCCCCCGAGAGTCTTACCAGGAGCCCCCCCAAGGGGTCGGCGGTGCCGCGTAAGCCCGAGAACAATCACGGGAAGGTGAGCCAGAGAGCCTTCCTGCTCGAAAGTCTGGCTGCCTGGAAAGCGGCCCACGGCGATCTGCGGACACGCTGTGCTGTGCTCTCCTTCTCTCTCCCTCTCTCTCTCTCGCTCTCCCTCTCTAGAGGCCTCCTAGGTGGGGTCCGCATCGCGGCAGCACCACGATGCATCGACGATGCATCGGCGACGTTGGCGATGCGTCGGCGACGTCGGCGTGGAGAACATCGGGCTCCGCACCGAACCGCATCGCCAATGCATCGGCGATGCGGCGCGACCCTCCGACCCAACTACTTAGACCCCAGCTGGGAGGCCTAGACTCTCTTTCTCTCTCTCTCTCTCTCTCTTTCTCTCTCTCTCTGCCTGGAACCGCGAACGAGCTCCCGCCAGTGCGGGGTGGGAGGAGTGTGAGAGGAGGACGAGAAGGACGATGTCTGCCGCTGCGCTGCTCTGCTGCGAATTACTTCGCCCGCGTGGCAGACCAGACTGTTGGATCTGGCCTAATAGAACTGCTTCTCAGCCGTTATGTAAGTGCGGCCTTCCGTGGCATGGGAAGAGTTCCCAGCCACTTCGCCCACCTCCGCCACCACCGTCAGCAGCGAAGTCGGGTCGCACAGAAAGGATCAAGGCTGAGGTAGTAGTTGGCAGGGAGAAGTCTCAGTCCAAATACAAGCCCACTGTTCAGGTAGAAGCCGACAGTGAGAAGACGCAGCCACCGCCGCCTCTTGTGGCTGTGAAGGCCAATCCCAGAGACAAGGCCGCCCGTCAGGTAGAAGCCGACAGGGAGCAGGGCCAGGATTTCAAAGTCAGGCATCAGTTCAAGTTTTTGATCTCGGATGTCTTCCAGCAGTACGAACCGCAGATGCTGGATCGGTTGGACCATTTCTTGGAAAAGTACAAAGGGCAAGACCAGTTTCTTTATTTGGCAGTATGCGAGAAATTCCATGTGCAGCCTAAGATAAAGGTTCAGATCACCAAGAAGGAAGACAAGCTTCCAGTTTTGGACAGCGATAGCGTGTCCGACTCACCTTCTGCCAGTAAACATGTCGACAGTCCCCGTTCGACTTCTCCAGAGCACGCTAGTAAGCGTGCAAAGGTTGGGCACAGCGATGCCGCCCCTTCCAGTGGTTCTGCCCCGTCCAGTTCAAGACTGCTGGAGTTAAAGTGTGGTCTCCAAGATATCAAGATCAAGCACCTCCAGCAGAAGCTAGAGACACTCCAGGAGGAGCTCAATCGTGTTAATAATCAAAACGCAGCTTCAGGCAGTGCGCCTGTTCCTAGGAGGAGCAGATCCAGCTCAGACTCCACTTCTTCAAAGTAATTGGAGCAAATATGTTGGTAGAATCCAACTTTCTTTCAGCGGCAGGATGTGTATTGCATCTTGGGCTAAATGGCAACTTGAGTATTGGCTTGGTGAGCATAATTCATCGGCTACAGGTTTTGGTAGAATCCTTTTGTGTTGGTCCTTTGCGTTTGGGTAGGACAGTTGTCAGCTACCCAGCGTTCTTTTACCTTCACGTCTTGTTTCTTGGCCAGATCGGCAGAACTGTGAAGCAGGTAGCTTACCTGCAGTTTTTTTCATGCGCTAGTTGGGCAGCTGTGTTCAGCCCAGTTCATTCTACTTTTCAGGGGTCCAGGAAAGTCTGGCGAAGTAATCCCCTAATATTCTCTCTTCCCTTTGGGGAACGGAGGTCTCGCTCTGCTAGGGGACTCCCATTAGTATGTGGGAAGAAAGTTTACCCCAGTGCTTTGCAGTCTTGATCTCCTTCCCCTTCCCTTGTCCTTCTGTCTTCCCCCCCCTCCCTCCTTCCTCCCTCCAGACAGTTCAAGGAATTGGCAGCCAGGTCACAGGCGAAAGCACGTGGCCTTCCCTGGCGGGTCTTGCCATGGTCTCACCATGCTCGAAAGTCCGAACCTGCAAGTTGACGTTCAGGGATTGCTCTTGTCTGGGGTGGGGGTCACTGGTGGGTGGGATGGGATTCTCCGCCCCGTTCTGGGGAAGTTCTGCATTGTTTCTTCTGGCCTGGGAACGGCCCATTAGAAGGTGGGCAGCGTTTAACCCGGGCGAGTTGTGTTTTATGCATGTCCTTCTCCTCCTCTCCTCCTCCTGGGGTAGGGTTCTTGGCGCCGACTCGGAACTGGCAACGCCCCAGGCTTGGACTGGGGGTCAGTTGCTGTCCGCGGAACGTGCTTGAGCTTTAGTTCAGCCCCGAAGCGAATGTCAAAAAAAATGTCCTCCTTTCCTCCGCCTCCTGCTCCTCCTCCTCCTTTCCTCCGCCTCCTCCGCCTCCTCCTCCTTTCCTCCGCCTCCTCCTCCTCCTCCTCCTCCCCCCTCCTCCTCCTCCTCCTCCTCCTCCTCCTCCTCCTCCTCCTCCTCCTCCTCCTCCTCCTCCTCCTCCTCCTCCTCTGGCAAGGGCCCGGGCAGCCGTCGAGCGCGGCACCGAACTCAGCTCGCCGCCTCCCCGCGAGGAGGACGAGGAGGAGGAGCACGAGGGCGAGGAGCCGAGGGAGAGGCCCTCGGGCCCTCCGCCTGGGCGAGCGTGGCCGGGGCCCGCCGCCGCCGCCGCCACCGCGCTGGCCGCCTCCACCAGCCACGCCTCCTCCCCCTACGACTCACCCGTGCGCCACCTGCTCCGCGCGTCTTCCCCATGCGACTCACCCGCGCGCCGCTGGCCACGCCTCTCCTCCACACGGCCCGCCGCGCCACGGCCGCGTCGCTCATCCACAGTCTCCCCGCCTCCCCTCTCGGGGCCCCTCTCGGGCCTGCCGAGCTTTGCGGCCATCGGGCTTCGGGGTGCGGCGGAGGGGCCCGGGTGGGTCTCCGTGGGGAGGCGCGGGGGGAAGCAACTGCCGTCACGGCTCCTGGCGCTGGCCAGGGCGGCCGCGGCCGGCAGCGCCGCCCAGCAGCCAGACTTTGGCCTCGGCCTGCCTCTCCGTGCCCGCTGCTGCCTTCGCCGCGCCACCTACCCTGCTTCCTCCCTCCCCTTGGTTGGTATGAGGTTTTCCTTCGTGACCTTGTCTCCTCCTCCTCCTTCCTCCCTGTCTGTCTGTCTGCCTGCCTGCCTGCCTGCCTGCCTGCCTGCCTGTCTGTCTGTCTGTCTCTGTCTGTCCACGTTAACTCCTGCGCGTAAAAGCACGTGCGTGCCAGTGGCCACCGGACCTGTGCTCCAGAGGTCACCTGGCCCTAGGTTGATCAACCCCCTTCAGGGCCGACTGGCCCTGAGGGCGGGGTAGGCAACGTTCGGGAGAACATTCGTGCCACGAGGTGCCAGGTGCCAGCAGACGACGACGGCGGGCCAGGAGGACGACAGGGAGACGACGCCGACGACGACGACGACGACGACGACCCTTTGTTACACGACGTGCGCCACCAAAGGTATCGATCCGTTCCCAGCGCCGTTCTCTGGCGGACGCTGTGGCAGGGCGAGCATGGCCAACAGCAAACGGCACTTGTGGTTTTTGTCGCCGCTCGCGAGGGGTCCAGCGGGGAGGGGCACGGCGGGCCAGGAGGACGGACAGCGCAGGCGCGCGCGAGCCCGAGGCTCCGCGCGAGGGGGGCCCCCGATGTCGTCGTCGTCGTCGCCGCCGCCGCTGTCGTCGTCGTCGTCGTCGCCGTCGTCGTCGCCGCCGCCGCCGTGGTCGCATCCGTCGCCGTCGCCGTCGTCGATGTCGTCGTCGCATCCGTCGCCGTCGTCGCCGTCGCCGCCGCCGCCGTCGCCGCCGCCGTCGCCGGGCTGGGCGGCTCTCCTGGCGGGTCCGGCTGGCGGCCGTACTGCGAGTCCCCCGCGAGAGGGCGGCCCAGGCTGGCGGCGTGGGCGCGGATCTGGTGCGTGCGGCCAGTGGCAGGCCTCGCGGGGGGCCGCCCGCGGGCGGGGGCTGCTCCCCCTCGTCGTCCTCCTCGTGTCTGTCCCCCTCGTCCTCCTCGCTGTCGTCCTCCTCGCTGGTCCTCCTGGTCCTCGTCGTCCTCCTCGTCTTCCTCCTCCTCCTCCTCCTCGTCCTCGTCCTCCTCGTCCTCCTCCTCCTCCTCCTCCTCCTCCCCGTCCCTCGTCCTCCTTGAACTCCTTCTCGTCCTCCTCCTTGTGCTCTTCGGCTTCATCGTCTCCCTCGTCCTCCTCTTCCGCCTCGTCCTCCTCCGCGTCCTCCTCGTCCTCCTCACCCTCACCGTCCTCCTCGTCCTCCTCGTCCTGAGGGGGGCGGCGGGCGGAGGACTCAGCCCGCGAAGGCCCTCGTCGAGTGCTGTGGTGCGGCCTCGGGCTCTGGGTGTCGACTGCGCGCAAGAGAGACCCCAGGGGCAAGGCAAGAGTGACCCTCGGCGGTGCTGCTTTCCGGGGCGGCACGGCGGCCACATCCGGGTGTCCTTGGGTGCGGGCGCGCCGAGCCCCTCACCAGCCCTGGCCTGCATGCCTGGCTGTGGCCCCCCTTGCTGCCCCCGAGAGCAGCACCGCCGAGGGCCACTCTCGCCTTGCCCCTGGGGTCACTCTGGCGCGCACGCGTGTGGCCGACGGTGCGGGGGCGTCCGACAGGGGCGGGGGGGGGGGGCGCGAAGCCTGGCCCGAGGCACGCGCGTGGCCCAGGGGGGGGGGATCAAAGGACGCACTGAAATCCGACGACCCCGCTTGCCGCGTGCCGGGGGTGAAACGGCGCGTGAGACATTTGGCTGTGCACCTCCCCCTTTTCGCCTCCCCCGGGTCCAAAATGCTTTTCAAGGGGGGGGGGCACGAGCTCGTCAACACACTCCTGGGGCCTCCAGAGCCCCCCAAAGGAAAACCCAACACTGAACACCCGCGCGCGAAGTGCACCGGAGAAGAAGCTTGGAACACCCTGAACGCAGCAGCTCCTTCAACGGCCGCGGGAAGTCGTCGCGCCGCGCGCGCAGCAAAAAAACCGGGATACCCTGACGAAAAGCATATGGTTTCTTGATGCTCGCCCCAATTGTATCCTCTCCGCTCCCTCGCGCTATGTTGTTCCCATCCTACTTAAGGACCGCATCCCAGAAATAATTTCGAGCACCCAGAAAAATGTCAAAAGAGTGTCCAAACAGTGTCGAAACAGTGTGGCCCAGGGCCCGGCACGTGAAAACCCTTGAGTTTCGGTACTTTTTTTTCTGCGGCTCGAAATTCTTCCTGGTGATCAACGCTAAAGTAGGCGTGAGCATCATAACCCTCGCGGTCTGGATTCCAGGCCATTCCCAGAGGACACGCGGCCGCACGGACACGTTCCGCGAGGGGCACCCGTGAAACCACGCTGCGTGTAGAGGAGGAGGAGGAGGAGGAGGAGGAGGAGGAGGAGGAAGTCGCGGCCCCCGGGGGCCCGATCCGCGAGCCGCGGACACGAGCACGTGTTCCTCGCCCGCGCTGCCAGGCGACCCAGGAAGGCGAACACGAGCCAAGGGCGGCGGCATCGGCACATGTTCCTCCAGTCGAAAACGCACTGGTAAGCTTAGGTATGTGTTACGCTTTAAGCGTTGCCATATCCCAGGCTTTGGCTCATATCGCATGAGCAAGAGAGCAAGACGAAGCATGGGATCTGGAGTAAAGGATAGGATGGGCATCGTCAATGGAAAAGGTATTTTCCGATCTCAGATACAAGTCGCGCGCCTCGGTGAGGCACAATCACATATTTGGCCGGGCCCGGCTTGAGCCAGGCACGGCAGCGGTACATGCTCGATTTATACCTCGCCTTTAACCTTCTCCGTTTAAAGTCGGAGGGGGAGGAGACGAGCAGGCACCGCACTTCTACATTATGCGGAAAAACAGTGCTAAGCAGCAGCGGCTGCCTACAAGGAAAGGGCGCGCGAGTAGCCTCGCTACCGGCGAGTTTCCTCGCTATTAAAGCGCACCTGCCCGCGGGTTTCCCCGCTAGCTCGGGAGGCAGGGCCGTCCTGAGACGACCTGCCCGCCCTATACGGTGTATGTTTCTTCAGCTCGTGCTTGAAGGATTGCTGGCCGGCCATTACTTGTAGGAGCAACGCGCGGTCAATACTACCTTTGGTATGACCATCGGCAGTCATATCCCGCGTGTCACACCATTGAACGCTTTCAACGATTCCGCGCTCCATCATCTGGCGGATCCAGCTAATGTGCCCAAGCAGAGTACATTCTGTGGGCTTCTTCAGATCTTTGCTAGACAAAGACTTGAAGACAGACTCGGCATCAATAGTCAGAGTGACTTTGATACATAGACCACCCATTTCCAATATGTTCTTTAACTGTGTGGGGGTCAATGGTCCCGAGTGTAGCTCGTGGAGCGTTACAATGGTCGGGTAGCAGTCTTCCAAGTTGTGGGCTGCTGCCAGTGTTTCCGCAGAGTAGCTCGAACGCACCTGCAGTCGATGAGACTTGCAGTATGCGTCCACCAGGTGCACGACGGGTTTCCCCGCTTGCGTGTGGCCACGCCTCAGCAGGTTAGCCCCGCGGATACCATAGCCTTTGACTTCGTCGTCTTCATCTCCGTTGAGACGACGATAGCCAGAATCGCTATGCAGGTCGACTTCTCCTGTTGGGGTCATAGCTTGATACACGATCTTCTTCGGACCTGCCTGTAGTTTCTGGTAACCGCGTTTAGTCGTCGTACCTGGATGTTTGTCGGTTCCTGGATACGTTGTAGTGAGACAACATAGACCATCAGCCATACCTGCGTGATCAACGCATAGGCTAGAGCGCCACGAAGACTGACGAACATATCAGAAATCGTCTTTGTCGCTTTGCTCTCAGGATCAGCTCCTGTGAGTTCTGGATGTGTGATAGGACGAAGCTGTTTGATGTATTCGTCCTGATCAAGAGTGACGCTCCCATCATCGGTCTTGTTATACCGAACGGCACAGTTTGTGTATGTGTGCTTGTTCAGTTTGCACTTCCCAAACGTATCTTCAACACACTTGACATACTTGTCAATAGCCTCTTCCTTCCCAGTCATATTGATGTCATCAACGTGCTTGGCTGTCAAGAGGTTTGAGCTCATCTCGAACTCTTCGTCGTATGAAGTAGGCTGTAGCCCAAAGCTCCTAGTGATGGACCTGAGCTTCAGCGAGAATGCCCTGGGAGCATCCTTCGTGCCCGTCCCCGGCTTCAGACACCGAAGACAATGCTTTGATTCGTCATATGACTCAAAGCCTGGCAGTGTGCGAAGGACAGCTGCTGACCCAGGTGGTAGTGTGAAGCACACCACACGCTCTTTCTCGCCCGTTGCCGCGGCGAGCTCGCTATAGGTCAGCCCCTTCAAGAAAGCCATGTTGATGTCCAGGGAAGCGATGATCCAAGCTTTGTTGCATGCAGCAGAACTTGCGAGCAGTCTCTGGCTTGACCTCCTTGCCGTGCCAGAGAAGGTTTCGACATCAAAGGCTTCAAGGTCCATGAAGCCACGGAGTACCAAGCGTAACCTGATCGTCCTTTCCATTTCGCCCTTTTCGTTCTTGACAAACTTCCATTTGTATACGTAGCGTGACGTCATGATATTAGACGCTTTGCTCAAGTCAGTCATCTGAAAGCATTTATTGTCAAGCCAAGTCTTCAATTCTGTGTAAAGGGCTTTGGAAACTTTGACCGGATTTGCTTGGATGTCGGCCTTCGTGAGTAGATCGTCTTCCTTGACGACCACGGCACGTTTGGAGGCAGCACTAACGTATACTCGCATAGTTGTGACGCTGCTGTCATCCAACAATCGGTGTTGCTGCTCGGACAGGACGACTTTGGACATGTCTGCTGTGAAGCAGAGCTCGATGTACTTCCCGTGCTCATCGGAGTCCAGATCATATTTGCTATCCGGATCCGTGGAGCATAAAGGAACGTAGTAAGAAGTGTCCATGTCGTATCCTGGCGGGTGACCCCGCTCCGGCAAGTGGCCTTGCACATCTTCACAGGTCGTAGAGACTAACACACACTGTGTGTCTGTCATGTATGTGGGAACTGTATGCATGACTTCTTCTGTGTCAGCTTCAAGGAGTGTTCTGTCATCCATCAGTTCAGCATACCACGACTTCAAGACAAAGGCATCCAGATCTTCTTCTGTTTCCTCTATGATGGTCGGGAGCCGACCATCGTTCTCCGTAGGAGGCTCCTCAGGAGCAGCTGCTGGAGGTGACTCGCTTGGTGGTGGACCATCAGCGAGTTCCTCAAACTTAGTGAGGTCTCGGTCAAATCCAGCAGACGGCTTCCTGGATTTAAGACACTGGATGATGCGTGAGTGTGTAGATCCTGTGATGTCATAGATGTTCAAGGCAGTGCCATCAGCTTCATAGTAATGAAAACCAGGGGTCACATCATTATCATAGTGCACTAGTGTACAGCTGTCTGCATAGGGTGCAGCAGGCAACTTCGTCAGGCTCTTGGCAAGTCGTACAGCAACAACGTTTTCAATACGAAAGTAGTTGCGTATGAGGTACTGAAGAGCCAAGTGCACCTTAGGCGAAAGTCGGCTCGCAGCAGTCATCTGCAGCCGACCCTGTTTCGCTGGTAGATATCCGAAAGTCATGGCGGGTTTCCCCGCTGGCAGACCGGCAATAAAGGCCAATACTGTCCGAAGGGCCGTATTGTCCGATCCTATCTCGCGGACCATAAGTGCTTCGATGTACAGCGTGTGTCGCGTGTCAGGATACTGTACTCGCACCTCGCGACTGCCGACCTTCACGATGACCTGGCCTCGGTCAGGTTCGTTGCGGATGACCGGGTATGGACCACTCCATCCACCCCAGTCGTCTTTCGTGGTGGTCGGGCGATGATAGTCCACGAGATCTCCCTCTTTGTAGTGAAATTCACCCGTAGCAGTAGTCTTCGTACGGAGAGCCCTGTTCGTCTTGGCAACCGCAGTGGCCTGCGTGATTGCCTCCAGACTAACCCTCCTGATTGTTTCC